ATCGTAGAGTCGCACTGTTAGTCATGGTACAGCGACGTTACGCTCGCATACAAAATTACGTGGGAAATTTCATAATTATAAGTCACCTTTGCTATGTACAAGTAATTTTTTAAGATACAAACATTTTATTCGTGCATATATCTATTTATAATTATTAAATATATATTTATATATTTACTTAGCGTGATAATAAAGGATACACACACACACACACACACACACACACACACACACACACACACACACACATGTAAACAAAAGTAAACGTTAAAATTAAAATTGTATTAAAAGTCTCATTAAATTTTAACTTGACAAGGAATTCGGATGAGCAAAGATCGTGAGGAAAGTTTTAGGGGAGGAATATATCGAGAAGCGAAGGAACTTGAGAGTCTCGAGTACGTTGTACGTTTCATTAGATAGGCGAAACGACGTTCCTCGCTCGGTGTCGGATGCATTGATTTTCGTTTACCCGCCTCTCTCCCTCGTCCCGTCGCCATCTCCACCCCTCGGCGGGTCCTTTCTGCCCGTGAACACCCCCCTAAGGGAGGGATGTTTCGTTATTTAAACAGATTAGCGATACGATGGTCCCGGGAGAGCATCTTATGTGTTTCCGATGCGGTCCTCGTTCCAGAAAATTAATCCTTCTTGGAGACTTGTGTCGTCCAAAATTTCTCCCTCAGATATACTTACAATATTTTATATTTCGGCACAAAAATTCTAAATGACAAAGTGTAATAATTTTTTCAGAGAAACTGCAAGCAATGGAATTTTCGTTGGAAGCCTAATCAGAGTTGATTATCTTCATTATTAATTAATTTTTGTATAATTTATTATGGATATAGATTATTGTTATAGTTTTGTAGCAAAATACATTTATCTTTAAACGAAAGAGTCTACGATTTCCTTCAAACTTTCGATTCGATAGCTCAAGATAATCGGGATATAAGCAGACACTCGCGAAAAAAATAAATGTGCCGATGAGATGAGAGCTGAATAATTATCCGATACTCAGGTACCGAATTGTGACGGCGAAAAGTGCTTCCCCCTTGGCCATTTAACAGTTCCGTCAAGGTCTCCGCGGTTTCCTGGGCACGAAGTTTCGGCGAAACTCCGTCAGTATAAGAGGATCGTTCCCGGGCAAGAGAGAATCGGGGCTCTCGGAACCAATTCTCTAATACAAATTCATGAACGTCCTAGCGTTTACCCTCCATTAGAGAGAAGCGCAATCAAAACGGACTCCTCGATGGACGATGGCGGGATCCGGCCAGCTGTAAATCAAACTACGAAATTCCTTGCGTCTGCTCGGAAGTGTCGAACATGGACGGTTCCGTACTCTCGTCTCCACTTTCCCCTCTCTCTCTCTAGCTCTTTCGACGCGCAAGGGTGTAATTATGCGTCCATGGGTCCGAACCAATCGCGCGAGAAGACCTGTCGAAGACGGAATATCTGCACGCGCGTCAAATCTTCATCCTCATTCCAAACAACACGATCAGTTCTTTTCCCTTTTGCACAGCACGTGGCTTGCATCGTAAAGCAGCGAAAAACGAAGGATTCGGTAGACGACAAGACAAGATCATCTTAGATAGTACGCCCGAAGGAAAGTAGTTTTTTTAATCCGCCTAATTTTCATCCGGATCTCGCGAGACTCGCGCTTCGGGATGAATATGCGAGGCGTGAAGACGCGAATCTTGTAACGAGGTATCGAATTATCGAAGGATTTATCTCGGCGTCGCGAGCGTCGATGCCGCCCGAAGTCACGTTGTCCCCTCGTAGTTCAGCACCGAGTTCATCGTGACACGAGAGTCCCGCGTACACGGGGGACGATTCATCTCGTCCGTCCCGACACTCTGATTACTGGTTTCATGCTCGTGCAAAAGAGAATCGAAGCCCCGCCGCCGTCCCATCGCCCCGTTACACGCGCTCGCTCTCCTCCGTCCCGTTTTTGCATTTAGTCTCTTCGCGGAAGCGTAAATTAACTCCTTTGAGATTTTTTGCTCGCCTCCCACTTAGATACGGCACTTAAGGCTATCGGGCGAGAGGCGCTCGGCTCCTTGTGCGCCGCAACGCGAGGCATCGCCGGGGCAACAACACCGGCTATTCTGCCGCCCTTCACAGCTTGACGTTACAAAGTGTGTGTTTTACCTCGCACGCCATTGTATTCCCGATTCCCGTCCAAGTATTATTCTTGAAAATTCTCATTTTCGCGGATAACGCGAGATTTTTTCAGATAGTTTGCTCGAAAACGTGGCCACAAGTTAATGTTAACGAGATGTATTTTGACGATTATTCAGATCCTATTGAGGTGTAATTTTAGCGAGCTCGGAATTTTCGATACTATAAAAATATGGAGATTTATTTTATATATCTTCGGAGAAGGACGACGAACGGCTTTCGTTTTTGTCCCGCGAATTTGTGCTTCATTTTTGCCTCAACGTCCCCATTGGTTCGTGAGGTACGATCGTCTCTTCGGGGCGGACGCCAGAGGTTCGGTAAGAGCGTTTAGCATAATTCGAGGATGTTGCGAGGGTCCCAGCGCCGTTGCTGACAAAAATGCCTTGTTTTGCTTCGCTTAACTCTCCTCGTTAACCGCGTTGACATCTTGACGAAAAGGCAAGCCGGAAAATAAAATAGGTAAAAACAGAGCTGCGAAAAATCCCGCGGGACTTGGCGATATTTGCGACGCAGACGTCGTAAAATGTTAATTAAAATTTACAACATTACATGAAGGAAAATTTACAACATTACATGAAGGAAAATTTAAATGACAAAAAATTCAATCTTTTTTGCAAGATTGATTTTTTTTTACCTGTCTTTTGAATTTTTACCAGGAAGAAATTTAATCAAGTAGCAATAATATTCTATACATTTCATGCAATTTATAATTATAATATACACACATTTGCGAATAAAGCGTTTCCTGACGATTGTAAGCAATGTTAAATGAATAGGTCCACGACAACAAAATTAGGAGCAGAATTTTTGTCACTAAAATATTACAAGTACTTAAAATATACCCGAAATAATTGGCTCCATTTACTCCATTTAATTTTTTTAGATAAAAAATCATCTAATCATTCTAATATAATACCACTCAGAAAATATTGTTTGTACAAGAGTCATAAAGAGAACGTCAATCGTTGCAATTCTAATTAGAAGGGACTTTGCCATTTCTGCCGGACGAATTAAGCTAATCGCTCGCGACGGGAAGACAGACGAAACGCCGTTTCTCGTGGAGGAACGACAGGGAAAACGAGCCTTTCCCGAGATAAAGACGCTAAAACGCGAAAGCATGCACCCGAAGGGTGAAGAAAGGACACGACCCTCGAAGAGAAGCTTGTTGAAAAAAAGTTGGAGGGCACGAAATTAGGCGTACTCGCGGCGAAAGAGAGCATTAGACGCGGCCCCGGGGGTCTCGCCCCCGCTTTCGCGCACAGTCCCGTTTTATTCGATAATTATGCAAATGCCGGAATGATTGTCGGGCAATATGTCCTCGGAATAAAAGTACCCGGTCGGAGCAATTCGGTTATCTTTATGATTTCGGGTCGTCGAATGGCGGTGTAGGAGGGAGAAACGACGGGGGCACAGACGCTCGTGAAAGAGGGCTCGTCAATCCTCGGCGACAAGAGTCAAGCCCTTCATTTGCATCGAAACGTAGCCCTCTGGCTTCACCTTCTTACGCACAAATACGATGCGATCTGATCAACGTCTAAAAGACAGGTATTATCGCTGCACCTTTGATTGCGAAAAAAGAAAATCTCTCTTGAAATTTGTACAAGGATGAAAATATTTAAAATATATGTAAAGACAAGAAACATATAAACATGTCACTTTTTTTATAGATTGATGACTTTCTCGAGTAAAAAATAATGCAACTGATTCGATTTAACTGATCAATCAGATTATCTTTATAAATCATTAATTGGATATATTCCGTAAAATTAGCTTCGAGTTTTAGCTTTGCAATAGACTATTCGATTTTATTCGCTACTTTTAACGAAATAACAATATCTAATTAAGGTGCCTGAAATGAATAATTGAGACTGATGCAGCGGGATTTCGATCCGTACAACTGATTCAATTAAGAAGCCCCCGGCTTTGATATCTCGAATAGATTATATATCGCGTAGTGCATATGTATATTATTATTAAAATAAATTCCTTGTATCGAGAAAGGGTGGAGCTTGCCTCGACCAATGGGCTATCGTTGCATGCCTTGGATCGTTACGGAATTAAATTGATAGGAATACACTCATCGTGCTTTACATATCTTTCTTTAGGCCCTTTCTTTCGCTCTTCCGTCGGCGAAGATGTCGGACGTAGAATAAATTTTTATTCATCCCCTGAATGATTGCTTCATCGTTTTTCTTCTTATTATTTTTTTTAAATTTCATAATTTACTTATTTTCAAGAAAAGAGATCTGACATGTACGCACACATGCGTACGAAGCGAAAAACGCGTACGCTTTACGCGCTTCGGCGAACTGAAAAGCTGAAAGCTTTGATCCATTAGCCATGGAGATCTTTTCCATGGTTAAAAAATTTAGGGGAGAGAAAACTCTTCTCTTGTTTTTTTTTTTAACAAAGACTTTGTGAAACGAATATAACGTGGAAGAAAAATTAATACCTCAAGATTGAAATCTGGACACTTTGTCTCACTTTTTAAGACGATCGGCATCTTTTAGGACGATGAGGAAAGGACTGCGTGACAATGATTGAATGAAGAAAATCCGACTTACAATAACAACTATTTATTTATAGGTAATAATGCTGAATTACAATGAATACACTTCTTGCCTCGAGATACTAGATTGTATAAGTCCGGTCGCGAAATCGGCGTCGCTAGTCGCCGTCGCCGTGACTCGCAATGGCGACGACGGTGTTTTCCCCCTTTCCCTATTCCCCCCCCCCCTCATTCCCGTCCCGTCATGCTCTTCCTTTCTTCATACACGTCACCTTTTATTCTCGCCTTTATTATCATCCTCAATCTGGTAACGTTTTTTCCTCGATCAAGAATCGCCATTCAGCAATTATTTCGACGTTTCATCTTGTTGAGCCGAAAAACTAAACAATTTTGGAGACACTCCCTATTATTTCCGGGTCTTATATATCTACAGCAGTGGTTTGTGCGTGATAGCGTCGATGTAGCTTCGTCTGGCGTGAGAACCGGTTCGATCGATCGCTCTCTGTCCTCGAAATTTAATTTGTACTATTTGGCGTCGGCAAAGTTCTCGGCTTTGCCGATCGTGACGGTTCAGCGATCCTTGATCGTGAAAAAGAAGGTTACTCGAACGCGTCAACCCCCTTGACTTCCTCCCTTACCCCAATCGGTAGCGATGGCAAATACAGATCAGCTATCGGTGGTTAAATTTTCGTTTCTCTACGTTTAGCATCGTCTTAACGGGCTTTAGCTGGTACGATACTAGACACTATGATTATGTGAACTTTACAACACAAGAACCTTACGGCAAAAGACTTTGTACATGGATCTTAAATACGGGGACCGCCTCGCTCCGGGGAAATATTCTCGGCGCCTTTTTTTTTTTCATCGCATCGATGCGCTCGCCAGATCTATTGAAGTGTCCTTTTCTTCTCTCCCGTTGACGTTTCCTTTTTTTTCTCTTTATATATCATCGCGCACGAGGGTTGTGCCAAGAGATATTTCGCCGGATTCTCGGGCGGTCAACGCAAACGCGGGACACACGCAATATGGATTAGACTTACTTGTTTCGGTAGTAACTAAGTTATTTATATAAATAAGGTGTTGTTACGATTTATAAGACGCTAGGAGAGAACTCTCCGTTGTGTTTCCGTTTTCATCATTCTCTCTTCCTTTCTCTCTTAATCTTCCGCTCACATTTTCTCCCTCTCTTTCTCTCCCTCGCGATCTTCCTATATCTATCGCTCGCGTTCTCTCTTTCTCTCTTTCATTTACTCGCTCATTTTTGCATACATCATTCTTTCTCTCTCTCTCTCTCCCTCTCTCTCTCTTCCTTTCTCTCGTTTTTCTATGATACAGTGCTCGAGTCGCAGTTCTAATCTCGAAGAGATTTCACTTCTCCCGTGCCGAATCTAGAAGAGACGTTGTTATTTTTCGCGCTCTTGCGCGCATTTTACAAAAAGACGGCACATTTTCGCGCCTTCGTCCGACGAGAGATCGGCATTTTCGAAAAATCATCGCGATGTCCGCCTCGATCCACGCGTTACAAGCGCAAACGATCCACATCGATATCATCGAAGCCGGTTATCGCGACGAGAAGATCCGCGACTCGATGTTCGTTTCGCATGTGGCGATCGGATTGGGCCCCGCGTCGCCGCGACGACGTATAATAATATTAATAATGATAATAATACTCGAAATATCGGCGCGTCCGATCGCCCGGAATCTCTTAAAAACGATTAGCTAATTAATTCGCTCGATAATTAGGAGATAGGTACCTCTAGGAACGCATGCACGCGCGCACGCACTCTCCAGCAGTCTTTAGAAATATGCCTCTTTTCTCTTCCTCTCATCCGCCTCTCTCATTCTCTCGTTCCATTAATCGCTCGTTCTCTCTCTCTCTCTCTCTCTCTCTCTTTTCGCTCTCGCTTTCTCTTACTGTCCCGCCTACGATCCGCAATCGTCTCGGTATCGCGAGACATCGCGATGTGTTCGGTCATCACCCACGGGTATAATCGATGATACGTACATTAGAGAATATCTCTATTTGTCGTCGTCAATCAAACGAACGACGCGATCGTCGCGAACGCGAATCGGGAAGCGTGGCGAAAATATCGCGTCCGTTGATATGTGTGCGATCGGTCCGCGTCCTTCTTATCGTTAGCCGCGAATTTTGCCGGACCGATCTCGATTCGAGGGCCTCCGCTTAATCTCGAGCGCCCCTTTCGACGTCGCTCTAATCGTAGCTCTATACAAGTGTGCGAAAGCGCTCGCTTATCGTTCGTCGGAATCGCTCGTCGATCGCGTTCGCGTGAAACTTACGCGTCTTCCGACGATGCAAGATACTCTCGTAGCCTCTCTCGATACGCTCGGCATTGTTCGCACTGTTGGCCGATCCGCGAATCACCGCGGACACTCGCGCGACATTCGGAGAATCGTCTTCCGCGCGGGTTTCCACCATCGGGTCTACCATCACGGTTCTTCCTGCGAAGATTTTCTCGTTGCGTAGCTTCGCTCGTCCCTCCCGTAGCTTCGAATCGTCACTTCCTTCTCGTCGTCCGATCCATCACTCGCTTCGGCTGCTCGCTGCACGCTCTGCCTGCTGCCCTCGCCTGCCCTCGTCCGGCCTCTTCTAGGTCGCGCTCGTAAACAGAACGGAGTTCTTGTAGTAACCCGTTCGCGATTCTGGAACAGAAGCGATCGCAGGTGCACTTTCGAGTCTGTGCGAGCAATAGCTTCGATTAGCTTTATATCGCGAGATCACAAGTTTGACTCGTCGAATATAAGACATCGCGTAGCTCGATGCAACAGCAACGAATAATAAAACAGTCGCTACTACTTGATGCTAAATTTAAATCTTGCAACAATAGCATTGAGCGTCGCGAGTCTTGGTGAGGAATAGGAGAGAGAGAGACAGGAACGGATGAAGATGCGTGTGCGAGATGAATGGACGTGGGCGTAATTCTGCTACGAAGAGATTCGGTGATTGCAACGGCGAAGGTGGACCAGCTGGGTCATTCGATGATGGTTCATTCGGAGGAAGGCGCCGCTCACTAATTATCGTTGGTTCTCGAGACCATAGACGAACGCGAAAGGTGGATGAAGAGATGTACGAACCGAGTCGAGAAGAAGGGTGGAAGAGAAAGGAAGTCGGGGCCCTATCCGCGTACGCACACGTTCGTAAATACGAGACCGGCCGAGTCATCGGCCTCAGCGCGGCCCTTTGTGATCGAGCCGCCACTCTACTTTTTATCGAACTGTCGCTTATGATTGAAAATCACTATACGTTAATAGTCCGCGTGATTCGGTTTACTTTCGTCTCTCCGCGCCCACTATCATCCCGACCGTTTCAATCTGCCCGCCCTAATCCTTTCATCATTCTGTTTCATTCAACATGCGCGTTTTTTAATAATAAATTTATTCCTTTTTTCTAGTAGCCGCTAAAATTATTCTATGGAAAAAGTCTTGAGACGCGATCCGCGGCGATACGATTATTATTATATTCAATTGTCAAACTTTTAATAAGAGTTGATAATTATAATATTTTTACGGGGATGCTACTTCTCGTTATTTTATTTCTTTCACGACAAATCTCTGAATAACATTTTATCGTCGATAAAAAGCGCTTCCTTACCAAGACGTGGGAGTTGATTTTGCAAGGACGTTGCCAATTAAGAGCGGACTTGTTAATTCCTTTCGGGAGCCCCCGAGAGGGTGGGCGGGCGGACGGGCGAAAAACGATTATTTACGTGCAACGTCACGCCGGCCGGGGCCTTGGAGCATCGAAATCGCGCTACGGATATAGTTTTTGCGCGAGTTGGAAACTTCCTTCGGACAAGTTTCCGCGGAGGAGAGCGAGGCCAAGTTTCGAATATGCCGGGGCTATGCCGCTGACGCCTTTGCAAGAACCGCCGTCTCACCCACCCCTCTCTGAGAGGGACGCGACCGCCTCTGAAGAGTTTCTAATTAAAGATCCGAACTTTATTCCGTATAGCAAGAAATCGCTCTATGCGCGCCGCACGAAAACCCGCGCTCGACGAATGCGAGGAACTTGAGAAAGAGATGTATCGTCGTGTAAAGTTTGCCGACGCAATGGCACAAGAAAGGAGAGTGGAATGCATAAAACTTGTTATTTTCGAATCTTATATACTCTATGAAGTACGTACGCGTATACGATAGCGATAGCTATTTCGTGTTTTTGCTAAACGCACCTTGAAGAGGAGACTTGACTTGGTCCCTCTCGGCCGCTTGGTGCTGCCGCGATTTTCTCTCCAGCTCGAGTTCCTGTACCAGCGATTCTGCGACAAAAAAGGAGAAACAAAATTGACAGAGCAAAAGAGAGAGATAAATATGTGTGTACATGTGTGGCAAGGCATTTATAACGTAGTCTACATAAGGCAATACTATGTAATCTACGCGCATAATACGATCTCACTAGCGTTCTCGCGGCCCAAGATTAATATCGGCGTTCGGCGAACGCGCTCCGCTGCCCCGGTTGTATCGAAGGTATCGCCTCGAGGAGAGAGAAGTCTGTCGGCTCTCGCAGCAACGCACACGGACCCGGGAACGACGCGGCGGATTCGACGAGGCGTGAACCACGCGCGCCAAGGATGAAACGAAGCGGTAATTAGTGCAAAACCGGCAGCTACCGCCAGTCGCGCGCAACAGGGGGAGAGGAAAAGGGACGAGCCGGATAACGCACGAAGGCAGGCGTGAAAGGGCCGCGGGTTTGCTCACTGAATTTCGCAAGGATTAGGGTGAAAACTGGAAAATGTCCCTTTAATGATATCGCGTCGAATTAACCGGGCACACGCGTCTCCTTCCGTCTCCTTTCGAACGATTTGCGCAATAGATACTGTTGAAATTGAAATTATGAAGATTCTCTGAAGAAAAATAAGTTACATCCTGATAATGGAAATGTCCAATTGACGTTTCGATTAAATATCGTTTTGGTTTTAATTATCTTGCTAAGAAAAAGGAGCCTTTCGCAATCTGTTGGTCGATTGTTATGAAAATCACAAAAGCGGAGGATTAAACGGAAGGACGATGACGAACATCACGCGGCGCGACGAAGGGACGAGAATCTGATCGGTAAGCGTGAAATGGCGCCTCCTTGGGCAAAGAGCAATGGTAAAATCCAATTGCGAGGCCATTAAGTCCCGGTTAACCAGCGCGCGAACGTGCGAGAGAAGTCGGCATCGGCGAGGTGCCCTCTCCTTCTTTCCTTCCCTGTATCTCTCTCTGTCTCTATCACGCTCCATCTTTACCGCCTGTACCGGGACTAGAGACGGCGGGGCCGAGATTCCATTATGCTTTGAGCAACAATAGCTGAGGGCTGTTTCGTGGCACGTGGGTGTGAATTCGTGCGTTCGTCAGGGCCGTTATATTCCACGACTTTGGGGCAATGTTTGCGTTTCGCTGAGCCAAATTACCTCTCGCGCCCTTATCCGCGCGCGGGGTGTCGCGTCCCTTTGATATCCAAATGACAATTTAACTGCTCCAGATATAACCGCCCGCTCGCTCGTTCGACGAAGAAGGGCGAGGAAGGATAAGGAAGGGAAGACACCTTCGACACGATTTAAGAAAACTTTCTTGCCTCACTTGGAATGACTACGAATATGCCCTTTCGCAAAAGCTGCAAAAAGTGATTCGATTGATTGTACGAGTCTTTTTTCGGAAAGATTCGCGCCATTGTGTTTTCTTCTAATAACTTGGAGGATACTCGCCGTCGTATTGTCCGCCGGTTCATCGACGTAAGAAAGTAACGTGCGACAACGACTTGGAAATCCGGATTTCGCGATTTCTCGCGGATATCGTTGCGCACTCAGCGTATCGAATGAAGAAAGAAGCGAGCTCGTCGCTCGATCCCGGGGAATTTTGCGGAGAGTGCATCTCGAGAGTCCAGGAAGAATGAGCCGCTAATAGTTTCGCTACCGTCTTACACACCCTGACAAATCGCCCGGACAATGAAAACAATTTCAGACCGAGTCTATACGAGGCTCACCGTCCGGGGCCCTAAACGGTTCGTATTGTGTGCCACTATATCGGCCCATCTTTTTGGAGAAGGGAGAGAGAGAGAGAGAGAGGGAGGGAGAGAGGTGGTGGCGGCGCGACGCGACGCGAGGCAAGGGCCTCTAAAAAAGACGTCCGCTGAAAAAGAAGAAGGGCCCCGGGTGGCTCGCCCCCTCTATGACTCCGCATTTATCCGCACGTAATTAACTCCGGCACAATACGGCCGCGAGGAGAGGCCACCTTGCCTCTCTCCCGGGTAGAAGAAGAAAACGAACCGAATCGAAACCGAGGACAGGACGAGAATGCGAGAGAAGGCGCGATCTCGGGAGTCTCGCAAGAACCTGGAAAAACTCTGGCGCATTGTTCGCCCGGGATCGAGGATACATGGTGCCTCGCTCGTACGAACTTCATTATTACGTCTACCGATCCCGGTTGGATGGGATTCCACGAAGAAGGCCAATAACGCGCGATTGATAAGCACTCTCGCGGTCCACATCCCGTCGATAGTTTTTGCGTTCACTCAGCGTAAAGGAGAGAGATTTCCTCTCTCGCGAATTCGCCCGAGGACGACGTCCTTGGGAATTAACCGGGTTTGCCGCGGCGGCGCCGGATATCGGATATAACCGTCAACGTGATCAAGTGTACTCGACATGTTTCGTTCTTGCGCGAGCGGCGAAAAAAGCAATTTAAGTATCACATCGAAGCGATGGTAATTGGCTGAATGCTCTCGCTCTCGAGGATCGGGGCCCGAGGGTTAGCGACGGTTCTGCGAGCAAAAAATGATATGGAGCGCGAGGAACGGGGATGGACGTGGGGGCACCTAGAGGGTTGATTTCGTGTAGCATCGCGTTTTTAATGCTCTGATCTTTATGTAAAGCAGACGAGGTTCGAAGGGCGGAGAGGAGCATCGGCAACAGACGGGACAGGGGCAAAGGGAAGAGATAGAGAGCAAAATATGGGGAGGAGGGTGAACGAAAGATGCGAATAAAGGTGGGGATAGGCGCTTGAGCGTCAAGCCGACCGTGAAATTGTATGAATCAAGGAGCCGCGCGGAGACACAAAAAAGCCAAAGAACCGAGAGAAGAGAATAGAGAAGGAGGAGAGGAATCTCCAGGCCTCTCTCCCCCGCTCTCGTATCTTGCGCGACTTTTATAATTTCAAATTTCCATTGGCTGCAAATCCGCTAACCTCTTCTTCCCTCTCAACTTATTCCTGCCACGTTCCTCGTCTCTACAAATGACGAAATCGCCGCACTAGAACGCGAATGTAATTCTTCCCTTTGTCTCTCTCGAGGAAGGGTACAAGTTTGGCGACAAGAAGCGATATAAACGTGACGTTAATGCGCGGTTCGGTCGACTTGTCAATGAAGTCTGCTTCAGCGACGTCGTCAATATTGTTTGAAAAAAAAAACAGGCTATATCGAGGACGATCGATTCACTCGGTAATTGTTCTTTTTCCCGCGCATAAATCTCTCTCTTCAGTGCGCCATTCGCGTCGCAGCTCTCCAATAACGAATTTAATCCCCTCGCAATCCGCGCGCCTTCCAATCGGCGCCTGCGGCAACGCAAAATCACAAGTCCGACTTCTCTCTCGGTCTCTCTTTGTATACACACGACGAATTTAAGGGGTTCGGAAAAACAGCATCGACAGTTATTTCGCTTCTTTTCGAAATATTCAAGTCGATTACAACGATTCGAAGAGCCTGAGCCACGTCTCCCCGAGATTTATACATATTTGTTTATTCATCATTCCGCAGAATGTAGAAGAAAGCAGAAGAAAACTCCCCAACAAAGTCGTAACTCGTAATCGCCGCGCGGGGAGAGTCTTAAAGCAACCCCAATATTCCTGACAACACCTACCTACTCGGCTACAGCCACGCAAACTAACAGATAGAAAGTCTGTCCGCTCCCCCTGCTTCCCATCAGCCTTCCTGATTCCTCCTGTCCCGGCTTGTTCGCCGGAAAACCACGTCGTCGTGCCTCATGGATGTATTCAGGGCGAGAGGGATGTTTTCGAGCCCCAGCCCTACCAACCTGCCGCCCACGTCGACGCTTCCTTTATATTGCTCGTACACACGCGTCACGCTTTATCACTCTTGCACACGGGGGTTATTGTCTCTCGCGTAATGGTCTACGCACGTGTACGCACAGGTGCGACGCTCGCATTTTCTCGGCCGCGTTGGCGGCCGGAAAGCTGGAAATAATCTGGCGTTCAACAGAACCGCGTACATCGCCGTCGTCGTCGTCGTCGTCATCGTTATTTTTCTTCCCGAGGCGACACGCTCGATTTGCGAGACTGTCGCTTAAAACTTTTTACTTCTCTTCAGCGCAACGCTCGATATATTTTTTTTCCCCTTTTAAGTTTGTAGATCACTCGGTGCATTCAAGGTTAATTCATTCGTGGGAGCGCTCGGGTGCAGCGTGTAAAGACTAAGAGAGCGTAGTCGTTTAAGCACGTTGTTACCGTAGCTATATATGTTGATGTTGATCTTGCGAGATACCAATGAAAAATGGCGCGCCCCGATGTCTCGATCGCGATTATTTTCATTTCGGAATAATTCCCCAAGACTTCGTCCATCAAATATTAATGCCCGCGCGGCGATTTAGAATGATTGCGGTCGCAGGGAAGATGAAGGTCCACCGTGGAGCAATCTCAGAGTCTCTCGTAGGTGTGTGTTCAAACGTGCCATGTCTCTACGTGCAGTGGAAGAAACACGGTCGAACGCGGGGAAGACGGAGGAGGAAGAGGTAGGAATACAGGGGGGGAGCGCGGCGGAGGAGGGAATAAACGGTAGAGACGGCGAAGCTGAAGACGATGGTTTGTGGAGGAGGACAAAAGAGAGTGTCGGAGCGACAGAGAAAGCGAGAGTGCTGTAAAATCGGAAGGGAGGGGCAGCGAGGGCAGGGACGGGTAGGGGCGAGATTATGGTTGCTGCGAAATTATTGCATATAGTCTGAATATTAAAGCGTGGCGGAGTGCTTCGTCGTACTCTACGGATGGTGGACGTGGAGGAATCGCGCGTCATACATGTACACGTATACATGTGCACGTGCGCGTGTCTGTGTGCATGCGCATGTCCTGTATGCATGCGTGTATGTGCCAGAGGGAGGAAGGGAAGAAGAGAGCGAAGCAATGCGAGGGAAAGGCGGCGGGGTACAGAGGGCTGGGGGGGAGGAGGAGGTTTAAGGGAAGCGCGGAGGGAACGACGTGAGTGGAAGAAGGAGGGAGACCAGGTAACGCCACCGAGAGCCGCGGTGGCCGCCGGGGAAATTACGGCTCCTTCCTTACTTGCGAGAGATGTGCATAAACTCTGCATTACACTCAGTGGCGCTCATGCGAATGAGCTACATGAGACTCGAGACGACAATCGTACGACTGACCGGCAGATCGAGATGCGATGTTGCGAGCGTCACGTGTTTCCCCTCGAAAGGATCTGCAGGTACAAGTATCTAAAATACAGACGGAGAATTTTTTAATTTTGCTCAAGCGAAAGATTCTAATTCTTCGAAAATTGATCCGAACGCATTCTCCGAATGTGCGATTAATATGTGAATTTTTTTTCAAACGCCACATTGAAGCGATTTTCAGATAACGCATCATTTCGCAAAAGACGTGTCTCTTCTATCGGTCGCCAGGCGATGGGAATGAGAGCCATCGTTCGTATAGAATGCATGACTCGAAGACGCGGCGGCGGCCCCCTTTTCCTCTCCGAGGTCCCCTCAGTGGCGTAACTATCCACCTCAGACGACGTTACGTCGAACTACCTCTTTCCCCGTGTTCCCTCTCGATGGCCACCCCTCCTGGCCTCTCGCTCTTGCGATACCGCGTCGCTTGTCGTTGTCTCTCCTCTCCCGCGTCACCCCCGTCTAAATCTCCGTTGTTTATTGCAAATGGATTCCGCATCATGATGCCCGGGTGGCTGCGGGACCCTATTCAAATACCTCGTGTTTCCTCGTCAGGGCCAACTCGGTTCCTTCCTCACTCGCCCCCCCCCCGCTCTCTCTCTTCTTCTCCTCTCCCACCCTGCACGGGGTTGTTATTGCCGGCGGCGTGATTGCTCTCGCTCGAGATCTTTCGAATAATTTACTTTGCACGATACCACCACGACACACACCTCCGCTCCATCGTCTCTCCCTCGCCCTCGGGGTCGATCTCCTCCCTTCTCTTTTCTCTCTTTTTTTCTTTTTTTTATCAGGGTAATCGAGGATCGAAAGCACTCGGCCGGAAGATCAGAAAAATTGAGTGGATCCTAATACGGGAATGCGATTATTCGAATTAGCGGATCCCGCTGCTGGATCTTCATCGCCGTTTCTCCACTTCCCGACTTCAAGTTTCCAACACGCGACTGCTACTTTCTCGAATTACCGTAAACTTTACAATGTAGTTTACATGCTAGCTCTTTCTCGAGCAGTTTTATTTTCTCCCGTCAAACAACTTTCGCGACTTTGAGTTCTTCTCGCTGCGAAAATGTAACGCGACGCGATGAAACTCGAGGAGCACGATTGTATCTACCGTTTTCTCCGACAGATTCACGTAGGACACGCGATGAATATTTTAAGGCGTCGCCAGATGCAGAAAGGAAGAGGAAGAAGCGGAAGCGAGAATGATGAGACGAGCTTCCGTTAACGACAAGCGGCGCTTGTTTACTTTTCCGGATCGCGTCCGCGGTTTCGTGGGACTCAACGGCGTACGAGAGGGTGAAATTGCGGGTCGCAGGTTTGAGAGACTGACCTTGGTAATTTTGCCAGAAAGCCGACGCCTGGCTACCGATGAGATCCAGCCCGTATCCCCATGCGGGCTTCTCCGGCGTCGACGGTTGCTGAGACGGACGCGGCACTTGCGCCTCCCGGTACTGCTGGGCCGCTGCTTGTTGCTGCTGAAGGGGTTGCTGCGACGGCTGTTGCTGCGAGGACTGCTGTTGCGACTGGGAATGCACCGGGCTACCTTCCGGCGCTTCCGAATTCGTGCGCGCTTCCGCCGTGACGTTTTCTGCGTCATGGAAAAAAAAAAATAGCAGCCGCTCGATTATCGCGATCTCACATGTAAGTGTTTTTCGTCTTTCAATCTTTTCGCGATGTAATATTGACAAGCGACATTTTCGATCGAAGGCTCGCGAAACGATTGAAAAAAAGGACACGGCAAATGAGAGACTCTCGCGGAAAACTGAGACTCCTAGGCCCTCCGTAAGATCGTAATCATCGTTTCGTGACTCACCCTGAAGCCGACGCCAAAGTGGCGGAGTGGCGTGCCGTTTGATTCGAAATTAGTATCGCGACTCTCTGGATTTGACAGGATTAATCAGCGGTACCGGTGACGACGACGGCGGCGGTGGCGGCAGCAACAGCAGCAGCAGCAGCAGCAGCAGCAGCAACAGCAGCGGCGACGACAGAGACGGAGAGGTAACGCGAAAACGATGAGGTGGAAGAGATGGTGGAGAGGAGGGGGAGGTGAGGCCAGGACGAAACATTATATCGGAATAAGAGATTTCACTTAAAGGGTTTCGCGTTTGAGTTTTGGTAGTGACAGGAAGAAGGGTGGCGTGCCGCTTGTTGCTGCTACTTCTACTGCCGGAGGATCATGGGGCGAGACGCGTGGTGCCTAGTCAAGGTGCCGGTGAGACGATGGGAAGAGGGGGAGAGAGGGTTGCGGGGGGAAGAGGGCTGCCATCAGCCAGCTCGACGACGGAGAGGGATTGCATCGCCGGCAGGGGGATAAGTAAGGAATCATATTCTGCCGGGTGTCAGGCTGTTTGCTCTGCCTCGGCGTATTAATTAATTTATTCCGAGATCACCGATGGCCCCGAGGCTCTTAACGAAGAGACTGACGACGAGCTTGAGAAATCCTAAGAAAACCCGTCCATTTGCAACGATAACCTGAATCTAATCTACGCGATGAAAATCGTGACGTTATTTCCCGGCACGCGGTGCTGCTGAAGATGAATATTGTCAAGAAGATCTTAAATTTCTCGTAAATGATATTTTTCAAAAATAAATGTTTTTTAAATATTTTTATATGAAATTTCTAATAATGTATTTTAATTTCAAAATTTTCACCGTAGAAGCTTGTCCGAAACAGCGATTCGTACTTACCGGTGATCGCTCTGACTTGTTCCGAGGATGCTCCCGTGGCTTTGAGAGCTTCTTCCAGTTGTGTGCGCCTCTTGATCTCCAGGTCCAACTGCTCTTGTAGTCGTTTCCTCGCTCTCCGTTCCTTCTTGAGCCGTTTCTGATAAACCACTGTAAACAGAAAGGAATAACGCGATTATGATTAACGCGCACCTGCAGATGATGCTGATAGATATTATAACGTATCAGACGAGTGTTTTTGCGAATGTGCACGTGTTGATTAGCGCGTGTTTCGAGATGCGATGCGACCAAATTCACGCTGACCATCTCCCAGGGTTCCCCAGGTGGCGGAACCCCGGCGTGGTCAAAGTCCGATAGAATTATCCTGGCGTATCATTCTACAGCGGGGGGCTTCACACTACGCGCGGCGGGCCCCAAAACTCAAAGTATACGTCTAAGCGGGGGTCCGATCGTCTCGTCAGCTACCGTGCGCGGATCCGACGGTAGCCAACCGAGTCGAACGTCCGAGACGAATCGTTTATCGATTTCTCTCAATGAGTCACGCCGCTAAAAAGATACAGGGAGTCTCCTGCATCCGCGTAACAAATGTGAACATTAGGCAAATGCGAATTGGCGTAATGTTTCTTTTAGAAAAGAAACACCTTGCGTTCCTTGTGCTTTATTATTCTTCAGTCTTTGAATTATTTCATTAATAATACTTACATCTCGTTGAGAATAAGTATAATTAATTATACAAAATAAAATATACATAAGAGAAAATAAAAAGATAATAAAACATGTATCTCGATGTGAATTTAATATTCCTACAATTTAACTTCAACGTAAAATCGAGTGGTTTAATTAAGATTAAAGTAGATTTCCAATCATATAATATTTTTCTTTATATTTTATTTAAGATCGACTGCATTAAAGATAGCTCATTGATCGCGGATATTACGACAATGTAGGGTGTTCATTTTTTTCACATCGAATGGTCAGACTCTTACACTTCTTTTTCAGATTTCAATGTCTCGTTTTTTATTATCGATACGATCATACGCAAAATTGATTCGCGCGCACAGATTTGCGTTTGGGACTTTCACACATGCTCGTACAACGTTAAATACATGTGTAGAAGAGCATTCGACACGGCTATGCACGAGGTTCGGTCAGATACATGCAGACCGATCGGTTTGATCGTTTGAGAGCCAGCGCGTCGGCGTCTTTGAAAGAGAGAAGAACGAGGCTCTCCCCCTCCCTCTACTCGCTTTAATTATTTTCCGTCATTGTGAACCGACGCGTCCGGCCATTGTGTGTTCTCCCGGGGCGCATCGACACGTTTGACTCGATCTCTCCTCGCGAACTCGGGCTTTGTTCGATGACGATCCAGCCTCGATCGTTCCCCGAATCCTTCTTGCACCGAGTTGAACGAATAATGGAACGCGGCGCGTCCTCCCGACGAGACGATGACCGGTTCTTGCGTGCGATTTCATTCCCGCGAAAAGGTAGAAAAGGAAGCAGAAAGATTAGAAATGAATCGAGAGAACGCGATTCCATTCCATTCTCCAATCTATCGAGACGATTTTGAGGGCGACGATAAATATCAAGTTTTCAAAGATAAAAAAAAAACAAAGAAAATGATAAAATTATTACTTTATTCATAAGCGAGATTCTTCAGAGATCTCTAGTCACCCTGGTTGAATTCTTCGTATAATCGGCGAGATGGATCTGTCGTGATTCTTTCGAAAGGCGAAAGACAGTAGCTACTCTCGCCCTCTCGATTTAACATCCTACACTCTGACAGGTAAGACGGTAGCGCGAGGCGTAGGTATCACGTCGCCGTGGGCGTCCTCGAGTACGACGACATTACCTTACCTTTACCGTCGCTTTCGCTTCGGTATAGCATGGAGATTAGGCACGCGGCTTTAATCGCCCTCCACTCGGGCGTCATTTCTGAAACGGTAATCAGAGATCGTATTGCCGCCGTGAAAGTAAATCGTCGAGAGCTCGCGCAAAAAAGCATCCATCCACTTTAGATGCAAATGCATTTCTTATTCGGCCACACGCACATCGTGGAAATATCATTCCCGTGTCTCCCCTCGGACCTTTCGCTGCGGGTGCGATCGCGCTTCGTGACAGAAGCGTCTCGTCGCTCATCGGAGATCTCCGATCTTTCCTGATCCGCGTCAAATTGAACGTCCACGAATGCGTGATTCCAAGACGCGGAGTAACCGGCGGATGTGCCATCGATGTGCCATCGCGATCCTATCGATCGTGTCTCGCAGGTGGCCACTGGTTGAGCATCACTGATACGTGATTGATTCTCGGCAGACAAGGCGCAGACAACCCCTTCGTCCCTTCTACCTCTTCGCCATAACCGTGTGCCCCTCCTTTTCCTCCCTGCCTGTGTACTTGGTCTCCCTCTCTCTCTCTTTTCCTTATCCACTTTGGCATAACGCGCCTCCGAGACGTTTCTCTTCGTTCCTTTTCTTTCATTCTTTCCCTTTCTCACTCTTTCACCCGATATTTCGTTTTCTTCGCCTTCTCTGCCTTTCTCTCTTTCCTACGCAAAACGAAACAAGGGTGGAGAGAAAGTGGGAGAGGGTGGGGGCAGACGGGGAGGACGAAGAGGGCAGAGGGAAGAGAAGGTTGCGGGACGACGGGCGGCAGGAAGGAAGAAGGGGGCAGACTTCTCGCAGTGACGAGAGGGTCGGGGTGAGGAGAGACGGGGAGAGGAGTGAGCGAGAGAACCGGGGTACGGGGGGGACAGCATTATGATGCAAAGATGGCGCGGCGGCGGCACCCTAGAATTAGCTCGAGCACTCGCCATTGGCCGCTCAGCAAACCACTCCTTCGGTAACAACCGACTGCATACGTTGCATACTAAGGATACACGCGAGCCGGCAAAGAATTGCCCCGAATGGGGCTGCTGCTTTCTCCGGGGTCCGACGACGTCGTCCACCTACGAAGTGCCAGCCAGAACGAAAACTATATCTCCCTGCGACGAGTTGCACGAGTTGATGAAGGACGATTTTTTTCTTCCTCGAGATTTAGATGATCTCTCACGCGCGCAGATTCTTATAATTTTACTATCTTAACACGGTTTTTTTTATAATGTTATTACAGTTTTTTTTTAACATAGTCTGGATAATAATATATCGGGATATTAATATATTTTCTTTTATCATGTTTATGTTATAATAATAAATATACGAAGAGAATCTGTGAATGTTAAATTCGCATGACCCGCAACAAATATGAAATTATTGTTTTAATTCATCGTCATTGAATTTATCCGTAATTTGATCGACGAAAAATATAGGTACGATGCGTTCCTCGAGAGGTACCAATCGAACGATGAGGACAGCGGGTCGTAGATCGAACAGAAACTAGTAATTTCATGCTAGCGGATACAAAAGAGAGAGAGAGAAATTGCACTGGTATCTCGACATAGTGTTGAAGATGGCTGGGCGAGGATGTTGGCGCATAGGGGTCTAAAGGTTATAGGGATGATTTCAGAGTCACGGTCGCACGATCTCGCTCTCGCTCCGACAAGATGCGGGAGTTCGACGACGGACAATACTTTGCCGATCGCGAAAAACGTTCCGCCGTTCCTCGGCTTGTTTCTCTCTCTTTCTCTCTTCCCTTTCCTGTTTTTTTTCCCTCCCGATACTCGCCAGAGATACTTGTCTTTTTGCGCGTTACTTCGTCTTGTAACTGCAACGTAACTTGGTCGACCAAACCGAGTACGAGCTCTGAACCCGAGTGCTCATGTAACTTGGCCTATCGTGGCAGTATCATCTAAAGATTTCAACGCGGTGATTTTTTTGGCATTTCTGTGAACATTGAATGAAAGCTCGCTTGATCGATATGTAATATTTATTGCGTAGATACCGAGCGACGTCATCCTTTTCGTTTTGATACTAATTATCGTCAAACGTAATTGCATACTTGGTACCCGGTGCATAACGTCATTCAGCATTTCTGTTTTTGCGATGTCGAATAATCTATCCATCTCATTCCGAGCGTCTTCATTTGGATCTCGCGGCGATTTCATTGCGTCAAGACTAATCACACGTGTGCGTTCGTAAGGATGACATCAGTGATTACGCAAGGCGCGTAAGAAAGGGAAGAGACTTGCGGTCGATTATGAAATCAGAGTCGATAGAATCGAGGACTGTTGCCTGTCGATGTGGCAGATCGCAGATAGCTGAAACGCCGAGTCGTCATGCATCGAGAGCGAGCGAGAAGGAGAGACACGGACAAGCGAGCGAGAGAAGCAGATATATACATATATATAAAGACGGAGAGGGTGGTCCATTAGATAATGCAGTCAACAGAGAGAGCAGTCTCTCTCATCGGGCACGTCAAAATACATCAGCTACCACTGTGCGCTCGCTCAGAAATCCTCCGACCGCTCTCGGCGTGGACTCCCCACGTCGAAGACTCGTTGACCGGGGACTCTCTCTCTCTCCTTCCCTCCCTCTCTCCAAGTTCACCATGGGTTTAACGCTCGTTCGCCCGCCCGACAGGACACGATAGATCTCGATCGTCGATATCGAGTTCCGCAACGACGGGGGTAGATCCGAAATCGCCACATTCGGAGAGCGTGGGGTACTTAATCGCGGTCGCGATGCGAACACGGGCTGATTTATTGCGAGATATTTGCGCGAATCTCTTTTTTGCTCCGACCGACACGGCACTTTTCTCGAAAAATAAATTAAATAAATATATAACTTGGGTGACACGACTCGAGGATGTTGTTGCGGTCGATTATATACAAGACGTCTACCGGGCGCAAAACAATCAATTGCGGGGCCAGGAAACGTAATAGCCGAATCCAATCAGGAAACCCGCGGAAACTAATATAGAGCCAGGCCGTCTTACCCGGACTGTGCTTAATACCCGTAACCGAGAGCGAAAGAGAGAGGGAGGGAGAGTGAGGGGCCCTCCGGGAATAGCAATATGATTTACATTTTGCGGTTATATTGACCATTCTCGCCACCTGCAGCACTCGCTCTCCTTCGTGGCCTCCAGGCTGCGCCAAGAATGACCGGCTTCCACATTCCGGAAAAATTAATAATGGCTCGCCTTCGGGTTTCGTTAAACGATTCCCGTCCTCGCGCGCGATATCAGCGACTCTGGTTGACATTTTTTTTTTCCTCCACGAT